CTCCCCACTCTCCCAAACCCCGCGGCTGTCACCTGAGCCCTGCACCGCGAGGGGCCTGCTGCCGAGCACCGCACGCGGCGCGATGAGTGACACCAGCGCCACGTCCAGCACCACACCCACGATCAGGTCCTGAGGGGGGTTGCGTGCGTTGGCGTGGGTGGGGCCGAAAGGGGAGGAGACTGGGCTGATGGGTGGACTCCTGCTGCTGGAAGCTGCTGCTGACGCCGCCGCCGCCGCCACTGCTGCCGCCCCCGCCGCTGCCACTGCTGGTGCTGCTGTTGCCGCTGCTGGTGCTGCTGCTGCCTGCGGGCCATAGAGCGGGGCCCTGGCAAGCGGGCGCCACAGCTAACCCAGGCAGGCCAGCCCCCAAGAGGCCTCACCGACAGGTAGAACTCAAACTCCGCCCAGAACTCATCGCCACGCTTGCGCACTTCAGCCACGGTCGCGCAGGCTGCAGGCAGCCAAGGGGCGGTGGCGGGCGCAGGGCAGCTCGGAGGAGGCGCGACGACTGCACGTGATGTGCACGTCGGGACCCCGCCCCGCAGCAGCCGGCGGCGGTGCGCCTGCACGGCACCACGCCGCGCAGCTACGCGTCCGACACACACCCTCTCCAGCAGCATGTGATTTGTACTGAGCAGCTGGGTCAGCACCCGCGCCCCCTGTCTGCGGCAGCCCTCCAACTGCGCTGCCCTGCAGACCGCCCCGGCGGCCTTTCACCTGCCCACCTCCCACCGTCATCCCAGCCCCATCAGGCCCCTCTCAACCGCCGAACCCTTCTGCTTCGCCCCCTGGCCCCCCCTCCCATGAGCCCCACCCGAGTCGATGATGATCTCGGCGATGACCTTGAACAGGAACTTGTCGTCAGCGATGAGGCGGTCACGGATAGCAGGGAAGCGCCGCGACAGCGACCCCGCCAGCCCCAGCCCCTGCAGCGCCACATACTTGCTGAACGCGCTGCTGCGCAGGCCGACCTGCCGCGCGGTGTCCAGCATGTCGGCCGGCAGCTGGACCTTGGCCGCCGCGGCGGCGGCCTCGGCCTGCGGCGGGCGGCCGGCGGAGGGTGCGCCAGCACACGGGTGAGCGGAGCCTAGGCCAAGCGACAGGGCGATTAGTTGCCTGTGGAATGGCACGCCATGCGGCGCACTGCAACTGATCAGCTGCCGGCCCTCTCACCTGGGCAACGTTCAAGATTTCGTCCTCCTCCTCATCGTCGTCGCCGCCGCCGCCGCCGATCGCATCGCTGCTGCCACTCCGTATTTGCCACTGCGGAGCCCTGACAGGCAACTCGGGGCGTTTCCCGCTGCCTGTGCGTTTCTCAAAGGCCGGCGACCTGGGCACCAGGCCCCCACGGGCGGGCCTAGAGGCTCCGTTGCTGCCACAAAACGCAACCGGAGTGACCTGAGAGCACATATGGGCGTCAGTATGCAGAAAAGTGCAGCTGCAACGACCCACGGGGGCTCCAGATCACGCACCTGCTGACGGCTCAGGCCCCACGGGAGGGCCTGCACCCCTTTGAGGCCCCCAAGATGCATGCCGCGTGCCCGCGCCCCACGTCAACTTGCAGGGTCAAGCGAGGCCGGCTGCACTGAACACTGAAGAATGCCCAAAAGGTCGTTATATGGGGCCTGACACGCAGTCTTGAATTGAACACAAGCGGCACCACGCAATTGATGAGCGCCGCAAGGGTGTTGCTGTGGCGTCGCTGAGCTCAGTCGTTATGCTGCCGCCACCCTGGCGGCCACCGGCTCCAGCACCCGGGCACGTCCCCGCGTGCCCCCGCTCACGGTGCCTGTCCGCACACAAGCGCATTGCGAGTGAGTGCTTCACGCGCATGTGGTGTAGTTCCCACCCAGCACACAGATTGGTAACATATGAGGACGGCAGATGCATGGTGGTTGTGTGCTGCACATGCAGATGTGGCCGCTGAGCCCATGCGCGCCGAGATGTCAAAGTGCAATTCGTCAGGGGCCGGCGCAGCGCGGCGCTGCTGCGTCATCTTCAGCAGCAAGTGTGCAAGACAAACAGGATAGCACGCGGATTTGAATTCTCTCACAGCAGGGGTTCACCGCAAACAAGTCACCCAGTGTTCTGTACCAGGTGCTGAGCTGGCCGCTCGCCGGGCGCACAAGGCCTCAAGCTCTATGCCGCGCGTGCGGCAGCCCCGGCTGCGCCAGGCCCGCTGCCGGGCTGGCGCCTTGCTGCGCGTGCTGCTGCGCATGCTGCGCCGGCCCCCGTGAGGCCGCGCCCTCGTCCTCCTCCTCCAGGAGTGACGCAAACGGGCTCTCACGGGCCGCAGGCCGCGGCGCCAGCGGCCGCCAGTGGTGCATGCGCGGCTGCGGGGCCGCCGCGGCCAGGAACCCACCCCCCTGCCCGCCATCCTGCCCCTGATGCTGCTGCTGCGCTGACGCGCCGGCCTCCTGCCGCCGCTGCTGCTGCCCGTGTAGCTGCGCTTCCAGGGTCGGCTGCCGCAAATGCACGGGCAGCCGCGCCCCCACGCCGCCCTGCGGCGAGGTCCTGCCGCCATACGGCGCGGCAGCCGGCGCCGCCGGCCCCATGCCGCCGGCGGGCCC